TTTTTTAGTTTTCATATTCTTTTATTTTTAGTGAATATTTTTTAAATTTTAAATATATTTTTTTATTTTTTTAGATGCACATTAGTTAGATGTATCTAAAAAGTAAAAAATTAGTGAAAAAATATTTTTAAAAATTAATAAATATATAAAAATATAAAAAATATACTGAATTCTTGTATTTTTTTTTTATATTTTTGGTATTTAGTAAATTTTTAAAAGATTTATTTTTTTTAAACTTTTTTACTTTTTAGGTGTATTTATGTTAGGTGTGTCTAAAAAGTAAAAAAATTGTTTAAAATATTAAAAAATTTCAGTGAAAACAAAAAAAATGAAAAATAAAAAAGTAGAATTTTTTGAAAAATATTTTCTGAAAAATGAAAACAAGCAAGCTGATATAACTCCTATACTTTTAATAATATGAATAATTTTTATATCTGAATTATTCGATTTTGCATTAATTTTATTCCATTGTCAATTGCTGTTTACAATCAAATAAAATTACTAGGTATCATCCAAACTTTATTTGAAATTTTATTTTGTTCTCAAAATATCAATCAAATCAGTAAATAAAATGAAATTTAGAGGTTTAATTGATATTTTAGAAAGTAAAACAAAATTTCACTATCACGTCAGCAACTCTCGTTTTTTATTATAGATAGTTACTAACAGTGGGATAAAATTGCTCTAAAATTAAATAATTTAAGTGTAGAAATGATATTATTAAAAAAATATAAGTTGAATTGATTTTTGAATTAGAATTTATGTGACAAAATGAAATTCCCTCTAAAAAAATGTAATATTGTAGACCAAAATACGAAAATATATCAATAAATAAGTATGGCCCCAACCCAACCTCACGAGTGGAATTTCGAGTGCTAATTATTAAAAATTTAAGAGGTTAAATATAGTTAATTGTCAGAAAAAGAAGAAGAAGTAATAATGATACTTAAATAAGTAATAATGCTTGGATACATGTATTTTTAATAAAATATTTTTTACTTTTTTATGTCTGAGCTTTTTTAACAGGTAAATTATTTGAGATTTGAAAAAATACACTAAGCTCTATAAATTTAACACAATCATATTGTGCTTAGTTAAAGTTTTAATTTACATAGACATCATTTTCATTAGTAATTTGTTAGTTATAGTTGGATATAAAAATAATATGAAAAAATTATTTAAAAAAAAAGAAAAAAAAACTCAAGGCATGTAATAAAATAAATTTTTAATTTTATCAATTTAAACTCTAAAAGTTTTATTTGTTTTTAGTATAAACCATTAACCTATCATGTTAACTAAAATCGATCAAAAAAATAGTATTTTAATTATTAAACTCAACGTAAATGTATATAAAATGTGTAAAGTATTCTTTTTAGAAGATTTATTAGGAAATTCTTTTTTAAATAGTTGTATCTTAATTAGTCCATAATATATTCTTGTAATTCAATAAGTCATATTATTTCTACATTTGATCCACTAAATTTTAATTTTCATATTTGAGATATTTATGGATAATTTTATCTTTACAAATATGTTTTGAACGGTTAGTAACTTGGTGATGTGAGCATTCATATGTTACAAAATGAATATTCGCATTGACATGTGAATGTTCGCAATGTCAATATTATTATTAGAGGTATTTTGATAAGTATGTCTTTAATAATTAAAATATCATTCAGTGTGTTTGGTTTGAGTTTTCTGGATTAAGTTTTTTGAAAATTAACTTTTTTGGTTTTTTTGTTTTTTTGTTTTTAGTGAATATTTTTTAAATTTTAAACATTTTTTTTTTTACTTTTTTAGATGCGCCTTACTTATATGTATCTAAAAAGTAAAAAATTTGTGAAAAAATATTTTAAGAAATTAATAAATACATAAAAATACAAAAAATATACTGAATTCTTATATTTTTTTATATTTTTGGTATTTAGTGAATTTTTAAAAGATTTCTTTTACAATTTTTTTACTTTTTAGGTATATTTATGTTAGGTGTGTCTAAAATATAAAAAAAATTGCTTAAAATATTAAAAAAATTCAGTAAAAACAAAAAAACACGAAAAATAAGAAAATAGAATTTTCTGAAAAGTGTTTTTTGAAAACTGAAAACAAGCAAGGTTATTTATTTTTTCATCAATTTTACTTCACAAAAATAAGTTAATTGTTTATATTGAAAACAAATCAAAATATTAAATTTTAAATTGATAAAATTAAGGACAAATTACATCATATTTTACCCATTGTATCACTTTGATCCCTATATTTTCAATTAGTTCAATTTTGACTCTTAATTTTAAATTATATGTCAATTTGGTCTAATTGATAATCGATAATGTCGTTAGTATTTTTGATGAAAAATTATCACTGAATTGGTTAAAATTTACTCACTAAGTTGAGTAAGTTTACAATTTTGTCATTAAAAACATAATATATGCCACTTATGTATGTATTTTTCATAAAAAAAAATGTTAATAAATGTAATCAATTGGATCAAATTGAGAAAAAAATCATAAATTTATGGTCAAAATAGAGCCAACTAAAATTATAGGGACCAAAATGACATAAATATTAAAATACACGACTACCGTCATAATTTGTCCTATAATTAAAAATTTAGATATTTTGTTAGAAATGTCAAATTTTGAAGTTTTTTATTTTTTATTATTTTTTATTTTTAATAATTTTCCCAATATAATTGTCATTCCTTTTATAAGGTAAATTGAACTATTGGTCTGTCTATTTTGGGTGAATTTCAAGTTGATGTTTATAGTTTTAATTTGAATAATTTAAACGGTACATTTTTAGTTTTTGTTATAATGTGATCTCTTCATCACTTATGATTGGAATTTTAAATCCAAAAAAATTATAAAATTAGAAGGACTAAAGTGAAATTTTTTAAAAAAAAATTACAAAAACAGTTGATATAATTTATTTGTTACACCACAATTTATAATTTTTTCGGAATTCAATTTTGATTCATCCAGTGTTGCCAGGTATCTTTTTTCATTTGAAATATTGTGCCTGTTTGGCAGAGCTTAATTACAGCTTATTTCAGCTTTCAGGTTAATTTAAGCTATTTTGATGTGTTTAGTTTAGCTTATAGCTTTTTGGAAGTCAGAAATCAGCTTATTCTTTGAGTGGGGCAGGAGATTGTTTAAGAATAAGCTGGAAATCAGCTTAAGCTGAAAGTTATAAGCTATAAGCTGTTGAGGCATAAGCTATAAGCACTTTTCCACAGCTCTACCAAACAGGGTTATTAATGACATGTAGTGGGGGTCTCGGGTGTACAATAGAGTTGAAATTGTTAAAAAAAAAAAAAAAACTAGGAGGGTTAGATTGACAAGTTATTTAAACTACGGGACTGAATTTATAGAAAAATGATATACAAATTTACTTTTTATACCTATTTTTTAAATTAAATAATGTGTGAGTAATATAATTAGTTAATGATTAGAGAAAATATAAAAGAGACTCTTATGTAAGAACTGTGATCCCGTCCATTGCATATTTGTAATGGAAAGGTTCCATTACATAATTCAATAGTGAATGTAATGATCTTTTTTTAGTTTAAAATAATTATAGATTTACATTCTTATTTTCTAGTCATTAGATATATAATAAAAATTCTCTATTATATATATGAAATGAAAAAGATCAAAATCTACTACATAGATATTCTAATTAATTGTCACACCATTACTATATAACAATATTCAAATTTATATTCCGACTCAGCAGGCTCAATACCCAAGGTGACTCTGATCAAAAAAAGGAAATTACCCAAGGTGACCCTCTGTTGGGCAACAGTATGATCATGTTGGGCATCCAACACGACTTGCTACTTCTCGAGAACCAGCTTCCCTTCTTCATCCTTAAGGAATTGTTCATTAAAACCATCAAAACTATCCCAGATCATCCACGGTCATCATGCCCTTCCCTTACCCAGTTTGTCCTATCATTCTTTGGCAATGTGATGAATATCAATGATGATTATTTTCAAAGTACAACCATAAATCTAGAAGAAGATAAGTGTTTTCATATACTCCATCTTATACACAGTTGCTTCCTACCTATCTCTTCTAACCATGTAAATCCAGAAGAAGATAAGTGTTTGTTGGAAATGGTAGAAAAATTCTGAGTAAAACCAGAATTTTTTCTTAAGTTTAGTCTATTTTTTAGGTGGGCCCCGAGTGTCGTTTTACTCGGGTCAAAGTGGTAACGCGTTCTATGCCGCGTTGTGATTCACGTGGTATATTTGGTTGCTCAAAACCATTACCGAGTGAATGGGAAATTGAAGCCAAAGTGTGCTCCATGGAAATGAAGTTATGGTGGAAATTCCTTAAGGTTGTAAATTGGCTTGTCCCACATTGATTTGGTGGGTAGTTTTGAAAGGGTTATAAGGCTTAGGGTGAGATACTTGGGGTGTGCCCCAAGGGGTACCCAAGTGTTTTAGAGGGAGAGGTTATGGGCAAAATGGGCTAGACCCATTGGACCCAAAAATCACCACACACGCGCGCGCGCGCCGCTAACCCAAAATAAAATTGGTAACACATTATATCATACCATAATTTGATACCCATTTTTTTCATTTTTTCGGTCAATAGGAGAGTAATTACATAGAGAGCTAGGTTTCTGTTGTGCTTCGAAAAGTTATTCAAATAAATTAACCAAGTAAGTTGTTTAATTTTATTCTGTTTTATTTGTTTATTTAATCAGATTTTAATTTTGTTTTTGTAACAAAATAAAATCTGTGGTTTTATTTATTTATTTATTATTTCGAGTTTGATTTTTGTAATCAAACAAATTCTCTCCTTTTCTTTATTTCTTTATATTCTTGTTGTTGTTTTGTACACAACAGAATTTAATCTATTTAAATACAGTGAAGATTGTCTAACAGTGTTTTCATATACTCCATCTCATACGAATTACAACTTTTTTTTTTTTTTTACTCTCTCTCTCTCTCTCTCTCTCTCTCAAAGACCACCTATCTGGTAATGGTAGCTTACAGCACTAAGCTTGCTCTGATGTAGTCCTTATGGAGCAAGGTAGAGATGGTGGTTGGACCCCGGTTGTGAATCAAAGGCGAGGAGGTGGATCTTGGGGATATGAAGAGAGGAGGGGTCTGTTTACTGTGTTCGTGGACAACATCCCAAGTTCTTTGGATGCAAAGTCATCATTGTTAAAGCTCTTCAATAAGTTTGGTGTAGTCAAAGATGTTTACATCCCTTCCAAAAGAAGAAAAGTGACGAATTCCAGATTCGGCTTTGTGAGATTTGACTGTCATGTTGCTTCAGACATGGCAGTTCAGAAAACTAATGGGCTTTTGGTGCATGATAAGGTTCTTGCAGTCAAGTATGCAGCTTATGACAGGAGTGTGCCTAGCATGAGAAGACCCCAGGCCAACAGTGAAGCCTTGAACCCAAACAGAGGTAAAGGTATAGTCTCACATATTGGCCACAAATCTTTTGCAGAGGCACTTCAAGGGGACTCGACCATGGTGGATGTGAAAGCTAGCATGACCGTAAAAGCCAATGAAGATGGTCATGGTTGGCTTTATGATAGTATAATTATCAGGCTCAACTTGGATTTCTCCATTAACAGTATCAGATCTGCTTTGAAGGATATTGGGTTAGATCAAGTGGTGGCCAGACAAGGGGGCAGCAGGGATGTAATATTGACTTTCAAATCCCAGGAGGAGCTCCAATCAAATATCCAGAAGATCAAGGATTGGTTCAAAGACTGGAGTCAGTTTGTTTTGGAAAGGAGGCCAGGAATCCAAATAGTCCAAGAGAGATGTGTTTGGTTGAAATGTCATGGTATTCCTCTAAACCTCTGGAATAGGAGCAATATAAACAATATTGGAGCTTTGTGGGGGACAGTCCTGCAACTGGAGGGTGACCTTAGCCAACCAAAGTCATTTGCTTACTCCAGAGTTCAAGTGGTTACAACATGCATGGAGCTCATTAACAAAACTGTTCATCTGGTTTGCAAGGGTAAATTATACCCAGTTTATGTTTGTGAAGACCTTTGTGTCAATCCAGTGGAGTGTAATGGGGTTCGGAAAATTGGGCTGGATGATTGTAATAGCAGCTCCAAAGTTGAGGAAAATGAATTCACAGATGGGGAGTGTAAGAGGCAGGACGATGTCGATATAGCGGTAAATCAGTTTGGCTTGTCCAATGCTGCGTTGCCTTTCTCCATTGAAGTGGCACAAAGGAAGGAGCTCTGTCACTGCAACTGTAGAGAGGCGGTGGACACAGTTGTTGAGGAGTCACGAAGTGATGTAGAGGTCAGCAGACCTATTGCAATTGGTGGGAAAGGAGCAATGATAGAGGAGTGTGCACCCTGCCCAAAGAGTAATGACTATTCACTGAGGTGTGTTGAGCACACTTCTGCAACTGGCTTGTTCAAAAGTCTCAGCGGATCGATAGATGCATTTGGGCCTGGAATTAATCTGGAGGTTGCCTTGGGCCCTCCGATAAGTGTTTTCATATACTCCATCTTATACACAGTTGCTTCCTACCTATCTCTTCTAACCATGTAAATCCAGAAGAAGATAAGTGTTTTCATATACTCCATCTTATACACAGTTGCTTCCTACCTATCTCTTCTAACCATGTAAATCCAGAAGAAGATAAGTGTTTTCATATACTCCATCTTATACACAGTTGCTTCCTACCTATCTCTTCTAACCATGTAAATCCAGAAGAAGATAAGTGTTTTCATATACTCCATCTTATACACAGTTGCTTCCTACCTATCTCTTCTAACCATGTAAATCCAGAAGAAGATAAGTGTTTTCATATACTCCATCTTATACACAGTTGCTTCCTACCTATCTCTTCTAACCATGTAAATCCAGAAGAAGATAAGTGTTTTCATATACTCCATCTTATACACAGTTGCTTCCTACCTATCTCTTCTAACCATGTAAATCCAGAAGAAGATAAGTGTTTTCATATACTCCATCTTATACACAGTTGCTTCCTACCTATCTCTTCTAACCATGTAAATCCAGAAGAAGATAAGTGTTTTCATATACTCCATCTTATACACAGTTGCTTCCTACCTATCTCTTCTAACCATGTAAATCCAGAAGAAGATAAGTGTTTTCATATACTCCATCTTATACACAGTTGCTTCCTACCTATCTCTTCTAACCATGTAAATCCAGAAGAAGATAAGTGTTTTCATATACTCCATCTTATACACAGTTGCTTCCTACCTATCTCTTCTAACCATGTAAATCCAGAAGAAGATAAGTGTTTTCATATACTCCATCTTATACACAGTTGCTTCCTACCTATCTCTTCTAACCATGTAAATCCAGAAGAAGATAAGTGTTTTCATATACTCCATCTTATACACAGTTGCTTCCTACCTATCTCTTCTAACCATGTAAATCCAGAAGAAGATAAGTGTTTTCATATACTCCATCTCATACACAGTTGCTTCCGACGTATCTTTCCTAACAATGCTCCAAAACCTTCCCACTTCTCGCATCGCGCATCGGACCTCGATTGTGCTGGAGTCAAGTTTGAGCCCGATACCGGCGTCGACTTCAAAGAAGCTTCCGGACTTCTATGGTGGTGTAGTCGTGCTAAGTTCAAAATCCCACCATTATCTATTTACGACAGCACAGAGCCGTTATTGAGAAACCTCATTGCTTTCGAGCAGTGTTGTCCTTCCATTGAGCGTCGTCACATCACATCTTATGCCTTTCTTATGGATTCGCTCATTGATTCTGCTGCTGATGTCGAATTGCTCGAAAAGAATCAGATTATAAATAATTATTTGGGTGCCAGTGAAGATGCGTCGGTTCTGTTCAACAATATCTGCAAGGATGCTGTATTAGAAGAGTTCGATTTTGAAAAACCGCGCAATGATGCGGAGAGTCACTGCAGGCGTCTGTGGCCGAGATTTATAACATCGTTGAAACGCGATTACTTCTCTAACCCGTGGTCGGTTATCGCTGTTGTTGCAGCCTTTATCTTGTTCGCCATTGCAGTGGTGCAGACAGTCTACGCACTCCTAACCTATTACGGAGTAGAATATGGAACTGTGAGAGAGTTGCATGATATGCATTCAGTGTTATGAAGTATGTTTGATTGTCCACCTTCCTAGCTAGAAGTTGGAGCAAGAAGTTGAAAACATGGGTTCAATAATCGCTGCAAGTCACTATAAGTTTGAATGAAATTGTTGTATTGTATTTAATGTTTTTATATTGTCAGGTTTATCTATATGTATTTCAGAGTTGCAAGTGTGCGAGTAAGAAGAAGAATAAGGGAGTGAGAGTCTGAGAGAGAATAATTTCTTCTCGTGTAAGTTATTATTTGTTTCTGTTTGTTTGAGTCAAATATAAGTGTGTTTTTCAGATTAGAAAATCTCTCTCCATAAGTGGTTTGATATCCCACTCCGATCAACACTCAAGCTTTATTTGCATTTAAGATTGGAAAATGATAAATAAATCTACTTTTTAGATTTATTTTTATGTCTAATGTGTAAATAAGATGTTGATTAATAATTAGAGAATAGAAGAGATAGAAAGTTGACTTAGATAATTTAATGAGGAGAATTCCTTTTAGTTCAAAATCTAGATTAAGGAGCTGTTTGGGCCCGTGGAGTCTACTGCGGGTCCCATTTTAATAATTTGAACGGTTTATTTTGTTCGACACTTCGTATATTTCTTTCTCACAAAAAATTAGATCGATTTCTAATGACTATAACATGCTCAATTTATAGTATTTTTCACTAAAAAAATGGATGATAATTGTATTTTTAAAAAATAAGTCATATATTTTTTTGATGACAAAAATAATAAATTAAACAAGTTGCAATTGTCGGATCAATTTAATTTTTTTTTTTGATGACATATACGAAATGCCTAACAAAAAAATGTTTGGATTATTGAAATGAGACTCATAATACGCCTTACGAACTCAGATAGTTCCCTCTAATTTAGATTTTGGACTAGAGGGAATCCTCCTCCTTTTATAAAGCATTCTATATCATTGAGTTTAGAAAATAAGTTTAAGTTTTGGATTTGAATAATAATACTCTTTAAGATTTGAGATTGGAAGTGGAGAGAGAGACAGAGAGAGAAAAAAAAAGCCAGATGTGAATAACAATCCAGGACAAAAGATCAAAAATTTTATGCAAAATGTGGTATGTGATGGAGTGCAACCCAAAACTTCTGATGGCGGGGGTTGTAACTCAAGAATCTTTCATGTTTGTATAATTTCTTTTTTGTTTATTTCACTGACATAAAATTCTTTATTTATTTTTATAAGAATAATCATTGTTTATATCTTTGCAATCATTTTGAATTATGTTAGGGATTATAAATAAATTATCAATTTTTTTATTAAATCTTTCACATTAGCGTGGAACTCATACAAATCACATGTGTGTAGGTCTCATACCCATGTGAGAGGTTCGATAGAAAATTTGATAATTTATTTGAGATCTATAATATTTTTCTAATTTTTTTCTTGTTTTACGCTTTGATCATTGTGTTCTGACTTTAAGAAGGTTTTATTATTATTATTATTATTTACATGGAAACTCCTAAATTATTGAGAAGTGTTATTTTGATCTTCTAAATTATAAAAACATAAAAATTAATTTCTTAAATTATTGAGAAGTACCACTTTATCTCTTAAATTATAAAAGTGTAGAAATAGACTTCCTAGACTATTTACATATTTCATTTTGAGCCATAGAGGGTCTAACTTATACACTTTTATAGTTCAGGGGTCTATTTATACGTTTTTATAGTTTAAGAGGTAAAATAATACAATAGTTTAGGTAATCTTCATATAAATAAACTTTTTAAAAAAAATATTGTAAAAAAATCAAATTATTTATCCAAGTAACTCAATTTTAAATTATTTAGCAAATTAATTGACTTTTTAAAACAAGTTCAAAATATGATTTATAAAATCACAAGTTCAAAATACGATTTCATATTGACATGACCCACTGTTGTGATACACGTTTATGTAATCATATCTTCAGGATACAATTTTCATGCTGAAATCATATTTTGAACCTACGATTTTAAAAAGTCAATTATTTTGATAAATAATTTGAAAATTAGTTATTTTCATAAATAATTTAATTTTTGAAATATTCCCCCAAAAAAAATAAAAATAAAAAATAAAACCTCAACCTTTAAGGGCTGTGAACATATAATTGGTCTTATGTTTTACAATAATAATTAAATAAAAATAAAACCAACCAGAGAAGAAAAAAAAAAAAAGTGATGGACTCATTTGACATGGTGACAATTTATTTATTATCATTATTTTTTTTTTTTTTGGGGGGGGGAATTACAAACACCCCCTCGAGGTTTGGTGAAAATACAGATTCTCTTTGAGGTTTGAGAAATTACATCCCGCCCCCTGAAGTTTATATTTCCATAACAAATTGTCCCATGAGGTTTTTATTTTCATATAGATTCCTCCCTAATTTGACCTAATTTGTTATGAAAATTTGACCCTCAGGGGGTAATTTGTAATTTCTCAAACCTCAGGAGGAAATTTG